TTTTTAATTATGTTTTATTATTAATTTATTTGTTTATATTAGGTTATATAATGAATTATTATGAAGATACTATTGCTAATAATATTCATAACTTAATAACATATCCTACAGATGATGAAATACATTTAGTTATTTATGAAGCACATGAACAAGAAGTGAATTTACTAAAGTTCTTGAATTTATCGAGTATAAAAATCTTTTTTATGATGGAATTTTTATTACACATATATTAACTTATGAAAGTGATTTATTAGATGTTGATTTAAATCAAGATGACGATGGATTAGAAAAAATTAATAAAGTTGATTGTAAATTAAATGAAATTAGCAAGGCTGCGGAGTTGGTTAACACATATAATATGGAAAAAATTGATGATTTAGAGTAGAGTCAAATAGAAATAGAAATAGATTTTATCTATAATCAATCAAATAAAAAATTTATTCAAGAGAGTAGTGAAATATTTCAAAAGGTGTTTTATCATCAGGAAAATTGGATATCTTATATTTAATTTCATAATATCATAAACATGAAGCTTATTCAAGTCAAAGAATAGAAAGGATTTACATAGCACATAATTCAACTTTAAATCTTAATCATAATAAGATTAATAATATAATTGCTTTGGCTCAAAATGATGATGCAAAATTTGAAATTTTAAGAACTAAAATATGGCAAAATAGAAAACGTTTAGAAGTATTAGAAAGATATCAAAATGCCTCAGGTAAAATTTTTGATTATTATTTGTAAATTTATAAATTTAGTTTATTAATTTATAATTTATAATTTATTTAGTTTTACCAAGTATTAGTATTGCAAATGTTACTTTGAAAAATCCTGCCAAATGTAGTGATTATGTTATATATTTGTACTTTTGGGATCAAAAATTTGCCTTGTTCAATTTTTGGCTATGTATCATAAATTATCAAATTATTATTCTTATATTGATAATACTAGTTGTATTGATTCACTTTCTTATATTTCAGTGTGTGTTTATATAGAACAGATTCCAAATATTTTTGGATATTTTCCAGTAGATAAACCAAAATATGTTTTGTTTTCACATATTTCTAATCATTTAATCATTTATTATTTAGGACATTATGAAAATTTCACTGAAAATATGGGATTTTCAATTGTAGGAAAAAAAGAAATGGCAATCTATTATTTTTTTAATTCAGTTATAGATAAATAACAATTGATTATTATTACAAAGTCAATTAATGATAATGCTGAATAAATTTAATATGATTTTAACTTATTTTTTAATTTTAATATATATAAATGTCATATGATAAAAATGTATATCAAAATAACTAAATTTATGTATATTTCTTTTAATTTTTAATTAGTATTTTGAATGTGACCTTTATTATAATTATCCGGGATCCTATTATAGTTGTATTTGATAGTTTTGAAAATTTACTATAATTAAATTAGAAAATAATTAAAAACAATTAAAATTATTATATAAAACATATAAATATTATATTATTTACGTTGATGATGATGATAATGATAATGATATTAGTAGTATTAGAGGTATTAGTGATATTATTTGTGCTATTGTTGTTGATGATAATGATGATATTGATGATAATGATAGTAATGGTAATGATAATAATGGTGGTAGTAAATATAAATGTTTTTTCTTTTATACTAATATATTAATAAAAAAATTATTATTATTAAAAAAATTACTTATTATTTTTTTTATTTAAAAAATATATATTAACTGAGATGGTAACAGAACTGAAGAAGAATGTCTTAATCGAAGATAAATTGTTGTTGATAATGATGATGATAATAATAATAATAATTGCAATGGAGAAAATGATGATAAAAGTGATGTTGATAATAATAATTTTGTTGTATGTTTATAAAGTTCAAAAATTCATTTTGCTGATAATTCGTGTAATTTTATAAGTCTTTTTTGTTGTTCATCGCTTCATTTATCATTTGGATTTTTATCTATTTTTTATTTTTTTTTTAAAAAAAATAAAACGCGTTTTTAAAAAAACTTACTTAAAAAAGTTTTTTTTAAAAAATATGTGTTTAATCTTTTTTTATATAAACTAGGTAACACTAAAAATATTCTCATGAAAATTATTCAACAATTGATTAAAAGATAATACAATTAAATAATATTAATATTTATATACTGTTAACGTGCAATTTTAGTGGATTACTATAGTTAAATGAGGTGTTTAACTGTTGTTTCTTTTATAGGTAGCTTACTAAATTCATTAGAATAATAGTAATAATAGATCCATTTAATTAAAGAACATTTAATTAAAGATAAAAAATATGTTTATTAAGAAAAGAAAATAAAATAAAATAGAGAACAATGAGAACATTGGCATCAGACTAGAGGAAATCTAACTTCCTGCCTTTCCAATAAATATAAACCATTCTATTTATATAAAACAAATTACATATAATAATAATTTAACTATATGGGGTGAGTGCTGGGAAAATGGACCAAATTGATTTTTTTTTTAAAAAAAAGTTCCTAAGTAAAATAGATGTAGATTTGGTCATCTGATTCAGATCATTTGTTATTTCAAAAAAAAATTTTTTGTCGATTTGGTCCTTTTTCCCAGCACTCACCCCATATTAGCTATATTAAAATATATTAAATATATCAAATCTATAAAAAATGTTTAACATTCTTGACATTTTTGACATTTTTAACATTTTTAACGTTTATAATGTTACATATGCAATTTAATTTGTAGATCATTCAGTAGATTAATGCTGTATAATTGTTTGTGTAATTCCTCTAGTAGATTAATATAGTGAAACATATTGATCATTTACTTTGCCATATTTTCTTGTTAAAATAATCCTATAACAATACTTAAAATAGAAGGAATTAAACAACAAATTGATAAACTCTTTTTATAAAAAGAAATAAAGCTTTAATTTTTGATACAATAAACAAGTTTGAGAATTCTTACATGATTATAATATACAAGTTTACAATAAGAATTCTTATATGATTAATTTTACTTTTATAAATTTTAATTAGTAAATCAAAAATAATTATATTTGAGACTTTATAATTATTTTATAATTTTATTTTTAAAATATACATTTGCTTTCAAAAAAAATTTGAAGTCTAATTATTAATATGTAATTCCTAGTTTTTACAGTTTTCATAATTTTCACAGTCTTACAATTCAATTTTAAATTATAAAAATTAAATAAATTAAATTAATGTATTAATCACTGATTTTTTAACACAAGATTTAATCTGCAGCTAAAAATTTGGCTAAGTTAAATCCAGTTTAAAGCAGTTTACTTAAAATTTTTAGTTAGCTAAAAAATACTGATTTTATCAATAATGCAATGCAATAAGTTTTTATCAGCATTGTATTTACTTTATTAAGTTTGATGAAGAATTTAAGAAAATTTATTGTCTTACAAAATTTAAGCATTAAAAAAATTTAATTAAATATATAATATTGTTATTTTTGTTATTTTTTATTTATGTAAAATTTATATGTTATTTTAAATTCCTTAATAATTTCATATACATTAATCAGTATATTGCAGTGATGGCAAATTATAAGGTTTTTTGATTTGAAATTTATAATAACAATAAGATCATTTGAAGTCATTTGAGATTATTTCAAGGTCATTTCAAGATCTTTTGCCAACCCTGGAATATTGTATACATTATTTTTGGTTGGATTTTAACATATAAACATTAAATTATATACGTAATTTGATTATAATTTTTATACATTTAATCATTAAATAAATATAATTTTCAAAATTAAAAAATTTTTATCAAAAAAAAATAAAATAAAATAAAAATAAAAAATGAAATTTCATTTATTTTATATAAATTAATTAATTATAATATTAAATAAGAGTTTTACAATTTAAAATTAAAATTAAATATAAAATATAAAATATTTATCTGATTCTTCTAAATCAGAACAATAAATCTTCTGATTTCTTGATTTTCCTAAATTATTATATTTTTATTATTATTATTTTTTCTTTATTTAATATATAAAAATGATACAAACACAAAATAACGTTTACAACAATAATAATAACCACCAAAGTAGTAATAATGTAAGTCAAACGTTTTGAAAATTATTATATTATATTATATTATATATATTATTTCATAATGTAATATTAAAAATAAATATAAAATTTACTTTTTTTTGAAACATTGGTGGCAGCTTTGATGACAGAAACTTTGAGGGTAGCAGCAACATTGGTAGTGGTAATGGAGGTGGAGGCAGCAGCAACTTTGTGAGTAGCGACAACTTTGGAGGCAGCAGCAACTTTGGGGGCAGCGGTAACTTTGAAGGTAACAGCAACTATAGGAGTAGCGGCAACTTTAGAGGTAACAGCAACTTTAGGGCAGCAGTAACTTTGGAGGCAACAGCAACTTTGAAGGTAATAGCAACTTTGAGGCAGCAGCAATTTTATTTACTGCAACTTTGGAGTAGCAGCAATAGCAACTTTAGGGTAGCGGCAATATTGTAAGCAATAGCAATATTAGTGGTGATGTTGTTGTCATCATCTTTTATAATAATTAGAAAATAAAATAAAATAAGAAAAGAAATAACGATAAATTAAATTCAAATATTTTGTCTTTT